AGAAACACTGGTCTATACCCACAGTAGATCGACCTGTGACCCACCTTAACAGCAAAATCATCAGGCCCCATAGAAGCCCTGCTTACATTTTAAGGATTTTTACTAACCAGCAGTTGGAATTTCTCCTTAAAACCCATTTTAACTGGCAAGCACTATAGGTAAATCTCTCAACAGATTTATCCACTGCAGTGGTAAACCTGTTCTTGATAGATCAGAGGTTTGTTGTCCATGCAGGTGTGCAGAGCAAGCACTGGTTAAGGGGCTGGGAGGCAAATGCTATTTCCAAGGAGCACTTGGATCGCTTGGCATGTGAGGGAAACAGTCTCTTCCAACCCTTGATGTCATCGGAGATATCATGGAAGGCCGGAGTGTACACCTGTCGTAAGAAGTCCAAAGAAAGGTCAGTGGAATCCTATCTTTGTCCCTCATCTACCTCTAGAGCAGCCGCATCCACTGCCCAAAGGCTGGTTTAACGCAGCCCACAAGACTGGAATAAGAAACTTGAGCTTTCCGAGAAGCCTTTAGCGTATGAGGGCGTGCCCCCACTTTTCCAAGTTGGGTTATGATTATACATTTCTTTCTGGTGCTTAGGTAGTTGTTTTTTGTTTTTTAGCATTCTGCTGCAGGGGTACCCCTTTAGATTCTCTGGCAAATTTCTTGCCTCTGGCACTCCTCTTGGCTATGCACCCTCTTCTTTTCTTTGCCATTTCAGAAATTATTGGACATTCCTCTTCATGCATGAGTCTCCTCCAGCTCAAAGCTCTGGCTCTTGTTCCTGTTAGTTTGACCTCTGGAGCTATGTTCTACCTGGCCATCACTCTCTCTTTTTGAGAAATTCGCTTCCCTTGGGGTATGTAAGTTCATCAATGGTACCTAGTGTATCTCGGTGTCATCCTTCACCAGAGGGACCCCTTGACTTGCCCAGGATTCTGGAGCCAGCCTTGGCTGTTGTCCACTCTAATAAGATTTTAAATCCTTAGTGTCTCCCCTGCACACCTGGTACTGTGAAGTGTGAGCTCCTATTTCTTTTGTTGTGCCTTTTCTTGGTACCCCCTTGGGGACACCATCAAGATCTTGCTTTTATCAAGTTTCAGTGTAGAAAATTGCCCATTGCCTGCAGATGAAGTTAACCAGCATACGTTGGGGTGGGGGGTAGTCCACAACATGGTTGCACACGGACCCCTTGTCATCAGACAGGAAATTACCCATCTCTTGAAGGAACAGTTGGGGTCAAGGGGCTGCCTTCTCAAAGGAACCTTCCTTTCTCCCCCTGCTGCTAAGTCCACCTGGCCCCCTTGCTCCACCGTTATAGGTTTAGTTCCTGAGCAGACCTGTATGCCTGCCTCTAAGCATCAGGTAGTTCCTGGCCTGATCTCTCACCTTCCCCATCAGATGCTTGGCAAGGATCCTTAAGGGTTCCTCTCATTGGAAAATGATCATCTCTTTGATTGAAGGTGCAGCAGAAGAGGTACCATGGTCTTACCTTGGTGTCTTGGTTCTACCCCGGCTGAACCCTCTAAGGAGGATCTTCTGGAGGTCATCTTTTCCCAACTGGTAGCTTCTTGACATGGAGGGAGAGAATCCTGTACCAAGGTCTGTCTCAGAAACTACAATGTGGGCATCGTATGTCAGAGAAGGGCCCCAGACTGGATGGAACAAACCAGTTTCCTGTTGCAAGTTTCCTCCATCAGCAACAGGGAATGCCTTAAGAACTCCATGTGACCTGTCCACTGAGGGTTAGGCCCATCTATGGCAGACCTAAAGATTTGTGAAGAAGGCCCTTCTGGTGCTGTTCTCTTTTTCTGGATTCAGGTGAATATTTTTCACTTTCCCGATTAAGTCTCCTTTCCCTTGTAACACCGATGCTTCTGCTTCGTTGGACTGGAGCATTTTTAGTCCTGTGACTCTTGAAGTCAAGGTTAGACAGGATTATCTGTTCAGGATTCCTCCTAGGGTTCACCCCTAGAGGTGCTTCTTGCATACTGGTGAGTGTACTTGCTTTTTCAGCTCAGGTTTGTAACTAGTCTCAGTAGTCCCATGCATCTTACAGGAACATCTTGTAGGAACAAGTTCAGGCTTCTTTGCTGAACTTAGGAACAATTTTCACATCTTTCACAGGTTGTGGTTTCTAATCTATTTCAGAGCTCTCCCTGGCAAGGTGATTGTGCAGAAAGTTTGTTGAGGTATGGAGTTCTCGTTTTTTGAGCCTTATGGGATTGGGCTGTAGCTTACACGGGGTTTCCTTCCCCTCCTGGCTGCAAAATGAAGTAGTGGGAGAGGAAAGAAAAGGTAGCTATACACACTCACTTTTTTTAGTAACACTATTTGGGACTTGCAAGTTTACTCCAACCAACAACACTGACAAAAGTACTGGGCATTGGCTATATACAAGACTTCCACTTCTTCTAAGCTTGGTGTCAAGCTTCATAGGACTGTTAGGGTCTGTGTTAACAGGCTTTTGTTGGCTGTGGGAATACAAAACCTGCTTGAAGCAGGCCAGACGCAGATCAACTGCAAGTCGAATGCATCTGTCGATAAATTTTGAAAGATCTCAGGAGTATCTCAAACTGATGCTTTTGACAATAGGCCATTTAACTGAAAGAAAGGGGTACGATGACATTAAGATCAGCCATACAATTTTCCAAAGGATGCTTTTCCTGTTATGTGTAGGACCCACTTAGTTCTCTCTTTAAATGTTTATTCTGAGTTTCAGAAAAGACAGCATAATAAATTTGAATGAAAATTGTTCAACATTCTCTAAGAACAGTGCCATAGAAATAAAGGTTCAGGAAAACCTTGAAATGCAACATAAGTAAAACCATCCTTACAATGTATAGTGTAAACAAAACATTCCTGCATAAATGAAGTGGTAAGTTTCCTCGCATGTAATATGGAGAAAAAAAACTAACCATAGGTTGGAGGACTCTCGACGGAGAAGGAGATTACATAAGAAAGTAGCTTTATAAATGCGACTGAAAGCAAGCTTAGCCAAAGTGTTAGACTTAGCATCAACATGTATGGAAATAAATGGTATGAGGGAAGGAGCAATTGGCACCCCATTTTGCGGGGAAAAGGAAATCCAGGAAACCGATGGGGGGAAAAAAAGAAATAACCACAACAGATCATGAATGTCAAGGGGACTTTAACTTTAATCTGCCCAGGGAGTTGGTCAATCTGGCATTAAGGTACCACTTTGTGTATTGGAAAGATTACATTAAAGCCTTTCTTCCATAGGGGAGAAGGTATGTTCAATGTAGGAGCGCCATCTGGTAGAGAATCTGTTTGTAGGGACATAGTTCTGCAGTTCAGTGTCCAGTTTCTCTTGGTAACCAATGGGGAAAAAAAAAAAACAGATCATGAATGTCAAGGGGACTTGAACTGTTTAATCTGCCCAGGGAGTTGGTCAATCTGGCATTAAGGTACCACTCTGTGTGTTGGAAAGATTACATTAAAGCCTTTCTTCCATAGGGGAGAAGGTATGTTCAATGTAGGAGCGCCATCTGGTAGAGAATCTGCAATTCAGTGTCCAGTTTTTCTTGGTAAAGTTGTGTAAGGTCCTTCTTAACTGTAGTGATCGTAGGTGCAGAAGAAGATGTCCACATCTTCAAAATGTTCTTGCGAGCTGCTAAAAGGCATAGATGGACCCCTTGGGGAATAGAGCCAACATTTTCCACAGGACATGCGTGTCCAGGATCATTGTAGCTAAATGGTAATGAGAGGCGTTTTGGGAAGGATTCACCCAGTGATGCCATAAATGAAAGTAATGACTTGGTCCCAAAAGGTTGAGATTGGGGAGCACAGCCAAAAACGTCGAAACAGTGAAGGATTGGGAGTCCCACTTTGAGGACACTTTGCCGGGTGACTAGTGGTGTCCGAAGAGAGAAACGGGATAAATGCCCTATGTATCAATTTGTACTGAGTCTCTCTCCATAGTTCATTTGTTATATACTTGCAAACTTTCAGATAGCCCTCCAGAATCTTGTCTCTCAGGTTGTCTTCTGAAAGATCTTTTCACCATTTCACAAAGAGTGTATCGGGCGTGGTGGCAGAAACTACCGATTGCAATGATTTAGAAGCTTCAGAGATAGAGTATGAATGTTTGGTTAACAAGTGATCAATCGGAGAAAGGCAGAACCTCTTCAAACTATCTGGACAGCAAGACCTAATGCAGGAGAGCATCTGATGGTAGTATAGAAGATGTGAGGGCGGAAGATGGAACTCTGCTTATCTCAGAAAAGGATTTTGGTTTCAGGGTATGTTGATGGAACAAGGAGAATGCTTTCACCAGGCCTTTTGTGCGCCAAAGGCTAAACGCCTTGTGTTCCATGCCTTGCGCAAACATTGGTTTGTCATGAATTTCCAGATAATGAGAAATGTGGGGGAAAGATTTAGCTTCTTCCTGGTCTCCTTCCAGGCTGTCACCATATCTCTTAGCAAAATATTCTGTTGCATGACTTTCGGAATGAATTGTAATTTGCTGTGTAGAATGCCAGACAGGTGGAAGGGAAATACGAGGTTAGACTCCAGAACAAAGTTAGTATATGTTGAGGAATGAGAAAGCCCATTCAAAAAATATCTCACTAAACAAGCCAGATTATACAGCCTAATATTCGGAAGATTAGTACCTCTTTCGCTCTTCGGAAGACTTAATTTGGACAATGTAATACGTGGCCTTTTACTTCTCATTTTTATATAATATGGAGATTATCTAGGGAATAGATCCAATGCCTTTGTTAGCTTAGAGAGAAAATGCACTTTAGGCATGCAATTTACTTTTCTCTGGACCAGAACTGCTGCAATCTGAGTGGTTGTACTTGATGGACCTGTGCCTTGTTCTCAATTATTTAGCTGTGTAACTATGACCTGTGTGTCGCAGGTGCGATTGACATTCTCTTCTGTCCTTGTTCTCCCCTTTTTCACCTCTTTGCTCCCTCTCCCTTTTCCATGTGTCTGCTTTTCCCTTCTGCACACCTACACCTCCCCTTCCCTTCTTTCTCCAGTCCAAGGAGCTGCAGATCAAACGACAATTCCAGGACACCTGTAAGATCCAGACCAGGCAATACAAGGCCCTCCGCAACCACCTGCTGGAGACCACGCCCAAGAGCGAGCACAAGAGCATCCTGAAGAGGCTGAAGGACGAGCAGACCCGCAAGCTGGCAATCCTGGCTGAGCAGTATGACCACAGCATCAATGAGATGCTTTCCACCCAGGCAGTACGTATTTGTCTTTTCAATGATGTCGTCCTGATAACGAATGTCTTGTAGTATGTGTATCCCAAGACCTTGTTCTTCAGTAGCCAAGTTCAAGTAAACATATAAGTATTCATACCCTCAAGCATGTTATCTTTGAAGATAAATTATAGCAGCTGTTTAATGGTGTCTTTTATAGTCATAAATGTCAGCTGTGCTTTTCCTACAACTTTAGCTAAACCCACCCTTTAACGTAAAAGTCCATTTACCCCTGATTCACACGTGTGTTCCTGTGGGCCGCGTCTTGCGCAGGCACCAGAGCCCATTCATTTGTGAACCCCCGGTTCACATATGTGTGTTCCTGTGGGCCGCGTCTTGCTCAGGCACCAGAGCCCCATTCATTTGAATGGACTCCTGTGCCCTGGGACACGAAGGGAAGAAGTCCCTGCACTTCTTTGGAAACCGCAGCCCACACTAGAACCTTGGTTCCCAGTGCAGTTGCAATTTCCAGTGTGGACGGCGTGCCATTAGAATTAATGACACCCACCCGCGGGTCCGCGTTCTTCTGTGTGAGTGGTGCGGCTGTACGGATTTTTGTGCAGATCCATAGTGGCACCACCCGCACAAATGTGAACCTAGCCTTTCACTTACCCCAACCACAGGGTGGCTACGCTGCTGCGTGGTTTCACTGCAAAACAAACAATGGTGTCACTTTTAAAGGAAGAAGAAAAATAACAGATCTACTGGCAGGATCAACAGGTAATAAAATGATAACACAGGGGAACTCAGGAAAAAACAAAAACTGCTGTGTTAACCACTTGCCAACCGTGCTATAGCTGAAAGATGGCTACAGGGCGGTTGTCCAGTTCTAGGAGGGTGTCCATGGACATCCTCCCAGAACGCACCCCCAGCGGCGCACATCCGGTGTTATCGGTGATCGCTGATCACATGACAAGGTAAAAGGCCAATCAATGCTGCCTTTTACCCCGTGATCAGCTGTGCTCAATGATACAGCAGATCACTAAGTAAATACAGTTGCTGGTTATCGGCAGCACTTTCCTCACAGCTGTCACAGCTTGACCGGCAAATGTGACTGAGGGGATCTGCACTGATAATCAAGGTAGTGATTATTAGTGCCACCAGTCAGGACCGCGTATCAGTGCCCATCAGTGCTGCCTCATCAACGCACATCAGTGAAAGAGAAAAATTACCTGTTTGCTAAATTTTATAATAGAAACGAAGAAAACTTTTTTTTTTTGCTCTTTTTTGGTTTATAGTGCAAAAAATAAAAAACCCAGCAGGGAGTACATACCACCAAAAGAAAGTTCTATTTGTGTGAGAAAAATGATAAACATTTCTTATGGGTACAGTGTTGCACGACCGCGCAATTGTCATTCAAAATGCGACAGCGCTGAAAGCTGAAAATTGGCCTGGTCAGGAAGGGGGGGAAAGTGCCCGGTAGGCGAGGGGTTCATGGTGGTGACAGACTGCATAATATATTATTTCAGATTTTGCCCATGGTTCTGCCTTTAGGAAAGCCTTACTAAAGAGAAAAAACAGAGGCCGTTACTACTGGTTTCTCATTGGCTGGCAAGTATGTAGATATGAGGACTTTAATCCTGGCATTCCTGGTCAGTATAATTATTCCGGGTCAGTGATTCAGACCAGCAGTTAAAAGTATAACTAAAAGCAAAAGGAGAAGGATTAGCACAGCTCTTGGATTCGTGGTTTTTATTCCCCTGTACCCCCAGTTAGGGAGATTCCACTCATCTTTGCGAGTGATCGTGAAAGAAAATCCCCAAATTTAGGGTTGTTGCCAAAACAGGAATAGAGAGGAAATTTTCCAATGAGGATACTAGTTCTGGTGACAACCAGACATTTCCTCTCACTTCCTTTTTTGCCAGCTAAGGGACAGGAGGTAGAGGAAATCTTCCAATGGGGATACTAGTTCTGGTGACAACCAGACATTTCCTCTCACTTCCTTTTTTCCGGCTATGGGACAGGAAGTAGAGGAAATCTTCCAATGGGGATAATAGTTCTGGCGACAACCAGGCATTTCCTCTCACTTCCTTTTTTTCGGCTATGGGACAGGAAGTAGAGGAAATCTTCCAATGGGGATAATAGTTCTGGTGACAACCAGGCATTTCCTCTCACTTCCTTTTCTCCGGCTATGGGACAGGAGGTAGAGGAAATCTTCCAATGGGGATACTAGTTCTGGTGACAACCAGACATTTCCTCTCACTTCCTTTTTTTCGGCTATGGGACAGGAAGTAGAGGAAATCTTCCAATGGGGATAATAGTTCTGGTGACAACCAGACATTTCCTCTCACTTCCTTTTTTGCCAGCTAAGGGACAGGAGGTAGAGGAAATCTTCCAATGGGGATACTAGTTCTGGTGACAACCAGACATTTCCTCTCACTTCCTTTTTTGCCAGCTAAGGGACAGGAAGTAGAGGAAATCTTCCAATGGGGATACTAGTTCTGGTGACAACCAGACATTTCCTCTCACTTCCTTTTTTCCGGCTATGGGACAGGAAGTAGAGAAAATCTTCCAATGGGGATAATAGTTCTGGCGACAACCAGGCATTTCCTCTCACTTCCTTTTTTTCGGCTATGGGACAGGAAGTAGAGGAAATCTTCCAATGGGGATACTAGTTCTGGTGACAACCAGGTATTTCCTCTCACTTCCTTTTTTCCGGGTATGGGACAGGAAGTAGAGGAAATCTTCCAATGGGGATACTAGTTCTGGTGACAACCAGACATTTCCTCTCACTTTTTTCCAGCTATGGGACAGGAAGTAGAGGAAATCTTCCAATGGAGATAATAATTCTGGTGGCAACCAGGCATTTCCTCTCACTTCCTTTTCTCTGGCTATGGGACAGGAAGTAGAGGAAATCTTCCAATGGGGAACTGTGCTTGAATGGGATGGTTTGAGCTCATTCAAGCACAGTCAGAATTCCTGAGCCCTGATGATGAAAGGGGAAGTCTGTATGGCCCCAGAAACGTGTTGATTTTTTATTTTCTCCCCCTAATTGGCAGGTTTTTTTTTCTTCATTAAAAACTTTGAACTCCTGTACATTGTTAGCAGCTCTCATTGGACTATACAGTATATTCGGCCATTGAACGGTTTGGCCTGCTTGTAGATATGGAGAGCAATGTAAAGGCTTGTGAAATCACCTGTTGGGATGGGTAGAATCTGACTGAATATCATTTCTTTGCTAGTTGCGGCTGGACGAAACACAAGAGGCAGAGTACCAGGAGCTGCGGATTCAGCTTCAGAAAGAGCTGGAACTTCTGAACGCTTATCAGAGCAAGATCAAGATTCACACGGAGGCACAGCACGAGCGAGAGATCAAAGAACTGGAGCAGCGGGTGTCCATCCGGCGGGCCCTGCTGGAGCAGAGGGTGAGGCTTGCCCCTGGGCATTGGGAAGATTGTCAGCGTTTGGCTTTTTTCTGGGTACTGACTCACTGCTGTTTCCACAGATAGAAGAGGAGATGTTGGCACTGCAGAGCGAGCGCTCGGAGCGCATCCGAAGCCTTCTGGAACGCCAAGCCCGGGAGATTGAAGCGTTTGACTCTGAAAGCATGCGGCTGGGGTTCAGCAACATGGCACTCACTGGCATTCCTGCTGAGGCGTTCAACCAGGGCTACCCAGCCCCCCCTCCGGGCTGGCCTTCTCGCCCCGTGCCCCGCAGCGGCTCACACTGGAGTCATGGTGTACAAAACACAGGGGCTCCCCAGCTTTGGCGCCAACCGACACTACTCGCTCCTCCGTCCTCCTCGTGGGGTCTGCACCCGTCGGGTTCCTCCTCCTCTTCTGCCCTGCCTTCCTCTTCCTCTTCTTCTTCCTCCTCCGCCTCGCCGTCGTCTTCGTCCTCCAGCGGCGGCGGGCCGGCCTTCTGTTACTCCGTAATAGCCCCCAGCCCCTGAGGAGAGGAGCCACTGGTGGCCCATCTGAGTCGGGATTGAGCCGAAGCACCAGTGTCACTTCCCAGCTCTCTAATGGCTCCCACCTATCCTATTCCTGAGCCTTTCACTTATTGCCCCACCCTACCCACGCTAGGTTGAAGCCTCTTTCCCTTGCCATTAACTTGTGCTTCTGTCAATATGACTTTTCCTCTCCAACCCCAAACTTATTACCCTGATCAGTTATCTCTTTGCCCTTTCCATGTTTTCTTCACTTTCAAATCTTTATTTAAATTCCATTTGTTACAAAACACCACTCCTCTTTACCCTGCTGGCGCCGGGCGAAGCCCCATGTACATAAAACTTTAACTCCACCCCTTCCTAATTATTGGTTCATATTTTTCTTGGTTAAGACCCTTGAACTGCCCAAGTATTTCACCCCATCTGTGGTAGAAGATCACACAGCTTGTTTTTCTAGCACTTTATTGGGTAAAATGCCGACATATATTTTTGGGTTTTTTTTAGTCCCTTTTATTATATGTTCAGTCGCTGTATCATTTTAATGATGTTGTCACTGGGTTTTTTTTTTTTGTTTTTTTGTTTTTTGAGGGGTGGTTGTGAGTCTGTGTGTGCCGCAAATGTGCGAGAGATTGGGTGCGTGTTATAATTCTCTTTTTTTTAAATAGATAAGATTAAAAAAAAAATGTAATAAAAAGACAAACTATTAAGGAATGTATTAAAACAATAAAAAACTACTCAATATCCCCTTGGGGGGCGTCTCAGGCCAAGAGCCTAGGGTTTGTTTTTGTTTTTTTTTTTTTTTTTTTTTTGCATTTTTTAATTTTATTTTTCGGAAGAGAGTATGAAGCAGGATGGAAGAACTTTGTGTCCCCCTGCTGACCTGGTGGTTGTAGAGATTTCAGAGACTTTACATGACAAAAATGTTGGATATTAAAGGATTAAACTGGAATGGAAACTTGCCTCTGTGTCATGAAACTCATGGGGGGAAAAGGAGGTATGGCCTTTGTTGTGTAGGATTAAACTGTACTTCAAAGCTGGCCTGTTGGAGGAACCAGCAAAGCTGAGCAAAAATAATCCAATTATATACCCTATGGGGGGGGGGGTTACTAAAACTGGAGCACTCAGAATCTGGGGTAGCTGTGCATGGGAGCCAGTCAGCTTCTACCTTCAGCTTTTTCAATTAGGCGTTGGCAATAAAACCTGGAAGCTGCTTTGCACCACATTTTGCGCACTCTATTTTTAGTAAATAACCCCCCATGTGTCTTAGTTTTCCCCCTAAACCTGCAAGTATCCTCTGGAACTGGAGAGAGTCCAGAGAAAAGCAACAATGCTGATAAGGGGACTGGATGACCCAAGTTACGAGGAACGACTACAAACATTAAACTTGCTCTCGGGCGGACTGACAACTCATGGGGTCCCTGGACAATAGGGGATTATGGGGCCCCCGTGTCCTCGCCCAAACCCAAAAAAGCCTATGAAAAAGCCAATGAAAGGTACCAGGGGCATCTCATGGGGCCCCCTACTGACCCTGGGCCCTCGGGACGTGCCCGAGTGGCTAAATGGTCAGTCCGCCCCTGCTTGCTCTCCCTGGAGAAGAGCCCCTTGAGAGGAGATGTGATGGTGATATACAAATACCTAAATGTAGATTCTAGCATAGGGACTAAACTATTCCATTTCAGGGAGCTTAACCCCTTGATGCCGACGTCACACAAATATGCGTCCTCACAGAACGGGGCTTTTTTCCGTGGGGCCACATATCTGCATGCCTGTCTTTCTGCACGGCGCACTCCCAGCACAAAGACCACGGTGTCACTGAGAGCACCGGGTCCCGTTCTAACGATCGGGACTCCCGATTCTGGGTCACATGATCGCTGTGATAGCCTATCACAGTGATCATTCACTGTATAGCCCGACCCCCTTGTTTTTGTTTTTCTCTCTATGAATGGAGGAGAGAGATACATTGTATCTCTCTAACTTCTGGCATAGAGGGGAAAAAAATGTTTGTAAAAACATATATATTAATAAATATTAAAAAAATAGAAGAAAAAATACCTAGATCAAGGTTTGATCTAGTTCAGTGTTCGGGGGTCAAGGTCAGGGTCAAAAGTCAAGGTCAAAGGTCAGGATTTAAAAAAAAAAAAAAAGGGGTGAGTGTGTTTTAGGTAAAAAAAAACTAAATGTGCACTATTGTTTCTGGGCTGTACTCCGGGTACAGACAACAAATAACACACACATATATGGTATCGCTGCGATCGTCAGGAGATGGAGAATTTATTTTGTGTTGTTCTTTGGTGGTAGGTTATGGTAGTAACAAGAAATACACAGCTAAATAAAAAAATTATTTTTTTTTTTACTATTTTGGGCCAGTTTTCCTTTGCTAATAGAAAAACAATCAGGAGATATCCATTACCATTTACCACCAAATGAAAGCCAAATTTGTCCTGAAAAAAACGCGGCATAATCCACCTGGATGTACAAAGGTGTTGTGATGATACGGACGGTTTTACTAACACACATCAACGTTGCAGAATTGTGCTTAGGCATTTAGATTTGTTTTACCCTTAGGCATGAAGGGGTTAACCCTTTGAGGACCGTAAGGTTTTGGAACGCCAAAAGAATCAATTTTATTTGTTTTTCAAGTTCGTACACTTCAGTTGCTGTAACTAAACCATTTCATGAAATAATTGGCAAAAAGCTAGATCCATTTGTTGATAAGAACTAATATTTTGACTCAAACCAAAAAAAAAAAAGAAGAGTTTTAAGTTCTTAATCAGATGATACACGCAATTAAAAACATGGGACAAATACGTCCCTTGGTCCTCAAAGGGTTAAGAAGACGCAACCACTCCTTGAAATTGGAGAAGCGGTTCTCCCTTAAACTGCGTAGGGGGTTCTTTCCTGTTAGAGCGGTAAGTATGTGGAATAACCTTCCACAATCAGTGGTGTCAGCGGGAAGTGGTAATAAAAACTCTTTAGATGGCCATCTACAGGGATATGGGGAATGATATTGCTATAAATCACACACATACCTACGCATGAACTAGATTTATTTATTATTTATTTCAGGTGCTTATATAGCGCCATCAGTTTACGCAGCGCTATACATATATATTGTACACTCACATCAGTCCCTAACCCTCAAGGAGTGTACAATCTAAGGTCCCTAACTCACATTCATACATACACATACTAGGGACAATTTAGACAGGAGCCAATTCACCTCCCAGAATGTCTTTGGAGTATGGGAGGAAACCCACACAGGCACAGGTAGAACATGCAAACTCCAGGCAGGTGGTGCTGTGGTTGGGATTCGAACCAACGACCCTAGCACTGCCAGGCAGAAGTGCTAACCACTTAGCCACTGTGCTGCCCACTAGATGGACCGGTGTCTTTATTCAACTTGACCAGCTATATAACTACAGTGCTGTGAAAAAGTTTTTAAATGATTTCATTTATTAAGGGAAAAAAGCTGTCTAAACCTACCTGGCCCTATGTGAAAATGTTATAGCCTTCTAAACCCCCCTGCTGCATAACCCAAGTGTGCTTTAGCTCGAGGTCATGATCTGATGGCCAGACATTGTCCAGAATTCATGGTTCCATCAATTATGGTAAGTCGTCCAGGTCCTGAAGCTGCAAAGCAGCCCCAGACCATTACTCCCACCACCATGGTTGATTGTAGCCCCAGACCCCATTACCCCAGACCCACCACACCACCATGGTTGATTGTAGCCCCAGACCATTACTCCCACCACCATGATTGATTGTAGCCCCCGACCATTACTCCCACCACCATGGTTGATTGTAGCCCCAGACCATTACTCCCACCACCATGGTTGATTGTAGCCCCAGACCATTACTCCCACCACCATGGTTGATTGTAGCCCCAGACCATTACTCCCACCACCATGGTTGATTGCAGCCCCAGACCATTACTCCCACCACCATGGTTGATTGTAGCCCCAGACCATTACTCCCACCACCATGGTTGACTGTTGGTATGATGTTCTTTTTATGAAATGCTGTGTTAGTTTTACGCCAGATGTAACAGGACTCGCACCTTCCAAAAAATTAAATATAATTAAGATGTTCCTTGGCAAATGTGAGACGAGCCTTTGTGTTCTTTTTGGTCAGCAGCGGCATTTGCCTTGTAACTCACCCATAGATGCCCAGTCTCTTTCTTATTATTGAATCATGAACACTGACCTGAACTGAGGCCTGCAGTTCTTTAGATGCTGTTCTGGGTTCTTTAACCTCTTTCAGTACCAGAAGCGGTAACCCCCCCCAGAGCTACACTCGGGAATACTCTGCAGCTTCTCCAGCAATCCATGTTTAAGTTACCTTGTCCTGCGCTCCCGCGATGTCCCTCCTGCAGCGTCCCCAGCCATGTCCTCCGGCCGATGCCGGCATCCGTCTTCCGGGTTTCGTTCCTTGCGAGCGTTGGGACGTACGGGGGATGGAACTGGCGGGAAATTAAAAAATGTCAAAATGTGACATTCACTCAATACACTAAAATCACATAGTATTCCATTCCTGTATCAAACCATTTCACATACATTTTGTCCCGAGTGCTTTGTCCGGCACCCTGCCTGCATTTTTACTGTTCTTTCTGCCTGGAAACTGAGAAACGTCCATGGCGTCCAAAAAGTGTCCCTTTAGGTCAGACGCGGTTGTAGACCAGCTAGAGAACAGCGATAGTAAATCAGAACCACTTGTAGAATTGAGTGATAATGATTCGTGGGGGAAATTCCTCATCAGACACTGAAAACGATTCTGCGACTGAGCTCAGCGATGTGCGAACTTGGAGCTCTATTTCACATTTCAGTGTTTTTGGTTAGATTATATTATTGAATTAAATTTATTATTATTTTTTATGATTATTTATTATAATTTATTATATTGTGTTTCAAATTTTATCCTACCCGGGATGTTTACTAGACTCTTGTTCGGACAGATTTCAGTGAGTTATTCCTAAGAATTACAGGCCTACAATAAAAAAATGACATATTTCCATTGAAAATAATGTACCGCTTTGAGCACAGAAATACTGACATAATCAGACCGCTAGGGAGGTTAATGGCCTCCTGGATAATTCGTCGTTGTGCTCTTGGAGTGATTTTGGTAGGACAGCCACTCCTGGGAAGGTTCGCCACTGTTCCAAGTTTTCTCCATTTGTTGATGATGGCTCTCATGGTACTTTGCTGGAGTCCCAAAACCTTGAAAATGGCTTTGTAACCCTTTCCGGGCTGATACGTCAATTACTTTTTCTCATCTGTTGTTGAATTTCTTTAGATTGCGGCATGATTTATTGTTTTTTTAGATCTTAGCGTGCTTCACTTTGTCAGACAGCTTCTATTTAGGTGATTGCTTGATTCAACAGGTCTGGCAGTAGTCAGGCCTGGGTGTGACAAGTGAAATTTAACTCAGCTTTCTAAAAAAATGTGGTTAATCCCAGTTTATTCATGATTTAGCAAAGGGGGGGGGGGCAATTACTTTTTCACGTAGAACAAGGTTGGGTTTGGACAGCTTTTTTACCTTAATCAATGAATTTGTCATTTCAAACCGGCATTTTGTATTTACTTGGGTTATCTTTGTGTAATGTTAAAATTAATTTTAAATTAAAATTTATTTGATCTGAATCATTTCAGTGTGAAAAATTAGGAGAGGGGCAAATACTTTTTCACAGCACTGTATGTATGTAACGATGCAAACAGTTTAAAGCGCAACTTCAGACAAATAAGACACAAATGAATGCTGATTTCTGTGTCCACTGAAGGACACAAAGTCATAACCTGGGAGGTTATTCTGCTGCCAACAGGATTGGACACTATCAAACAAAAAAAAATATTGTAGACCAGCACAGGATAACCCTACCTACGACCAGCCCACCTCCGCTTTCCACTACTGTCTTCGGAAGATGGACGTACTCAGCTTTGTTGACAAAAGTCCAACCATTTCATTTATACTAGTCTTTTTGTTTGTTTGTTTTTTTTTTCTTCAAATGTTCTCTTCAGTCAAGATTTCCCACTACATTCCTGTTTGTGAATGCGGGGTCCAGGGAGAGCGGATATAGTGAATGCGGGGTCCGGGGAGAATGGATACAGTGAATGCAGGGTCCGGGGAGACCGGATATAGTGAATGCAGGGTCCGGGGAGAGCGGATATAGTGAATGCAGGGTCTGGGGAGAGCGGATATAGTGAATGCAGGGTCTGGGGAGAGCGGATATAGTGAATGCAGGGTCCGGGGAGACCGGATATAGTGAATGCGGGGTCCGGGGAGAGCGGGTCCGGGGATATATAGTGAATGCGGGGTCCGGGGAGAGCGGATATAGTGAATGCGGGGTCCAGGGAGACCGGATATAGTGAATGCAGGGTCCGGGGAGACCGGATATAGTGAATGCAGGGTAAGAGGGGAGCGGATATAGTGAATGCAGTGTCCGGGGAGAGCGGATACAGTGAATGCGGGGTCCGGGGAGAGCGGATACAGTGAATGCGGGGTCCGGGGAGAGCGGATACAGTGAATGCGGGGTCCGGGGAGAGCGGATACAGTGAATGCGGGGTCCGGGGGAGAGCGAATATAGTGAATGGGGGGTCCGGGGAGAGCGGATATAGTGAATGGGGGGTCCGGGGAGAGCGGATATACTGAATGGGGGGTCCGGGGAGAGCGGATATAGCGAATGCGGGGTCCGGGGAGAGCGGATATAGCGAATGCGGGGTCCGGGGAGAGCGGATATAGCGAATGCGGGGTCCGGGGAGAGCGGATATAGCGAATGCGGGGTCCGGGGAGAGCGGATATAGCGAATGCGGGGTCCGGGGAGAGCGGATATAGCGAATGCGGGGTCCGGGGAGAGCGGATATAGCGGAATGCGGGGTCCGGGGAGAGCGGATATAGTGAATGCGGGGTCCGGGAGAGAGAATGCGGATATAGTGAATGCGGGGTCCGGGGAGAGCGGATATAGTGAATGCGGGGTCCGGGGAGAGCGGATATAGTGAATGCGGGGTCCGGGGAGAGCGGATATAGTGAATGCAGGGTCCGGGGGGAGCAGATATAGTGAATGCAGGGTCCGGGGAGAGCAGATATAGCGAATGCGGGGTCCGGGGAGAGCGGATATAGCGAATGCAGGGTCCGGGGTTTAGTAACATTTTATGATGGTTCACTGATTTGTCATTATTGGAATCTTTATTATTATTATTCAGGATTTATATCGCACCAACAGTGTTCTCAGCGCTTTATAAAATGAAGGCAGACATTACAGTTACAATACAATTTGGTACAAGAGGAATAAGAGGGCCTGGCTCGTTAGTTCTTACAATCTAGGAGGAAGGGTTGAGTGATACAAAAGGTAATAGCTGTGGGGGGATGAGTTGATGGAGGAAATAAATGGCAGTTTACTAGGTAGAAGCAGGATAGGCTTCTTTAAAGAGAAAGGTTTTCAGGGATCGTCTAAAGGTGGATAAATTAAGAGACAGCCGGACAGATTGGCGTAGGGAGTTCCATAGGATGGGAGAAGCTCGAGAGAAGTCCTGAAGGCAGGCATGGGAGGAGGTGACATAGGAATAGAGAGCAGAAAGTCTTGGCAGGATTGGAGAGAGCGGATTGGTTGATATTTCCAGACCAGGTTGGTGATGTAGCCGGGGGAAGAGTTTCTTTGTTTATATTTTCCTGCCTGCAATTTCCATTCTTAGCAGGCTGACCATCATCCGGGTGATTATCCTCCTCTCCATGTCATCACCACCCTTCATTCCTCCCACACAGCTCTCCGCCACCAGGTGTCGCTGCACAGCTCCCTGTCCTCTCTGACACCCGGCGAGGCTTCTCTATGGCTCACCAGGCGGCGCTCTCTCCCCCCTCTCTGCTGGTTGCCAGGGAGCAGAGTCCGGTCCGTGACGTCACGGGAAAAGATGGCAGAGGAGAACATTTTTCTGTTCGTGCCCAACCTGATCGGTGAGGGGGGGGGGATTCCGGTGGTGGGGGCCGGTTTTTGGGAGGGCAGTGTTGATACTGACGGGGGGAAGAGAGGGATTTTCAGTGTCACCCCATTATTATAGGGGGGTGGGAGTGACGTCATGGGGGGCGGGTCATAGGTCACTCCAGGACCTCAGTCACTCTATATGAGGGAGGGGTGATATGGGTGGTCTTGCAGCACCGGGGTCCTGGGTTCAAACCCTGCATCGGCCACATGGAGTCTGTATGTCCTGCGTGTGAGGTTCCTCCTGGTGTATATAGAACACAGGCCCCTCCCCAGACTGCGGGGGATCCAATCGTCAGCTTTCCTGGTGAACCTGCCAGCCACACAGTTCCTGTCCTGAGTGACAACGCTCACAGTGCTGTGTCTATAGAGGAGCGGCGTTGTCACCTTGACCTGCTCTGCTCTTTAGACCACCTCCCCCTTCCTTTCTCACCTGCATAACTTAAGGGAGAGGTGTTCCGTAGTTCTCATAGAGAGATGGATGGGGCCAACAACATGGTAGAGAGCACCGGGGGTTATCGGCTCACTCATTGTACTTTATTTATAGAGGAGCGGCGTTCTCACCCTGCCGTGCTCTTTGGACTACAGAACCCCTCCCCCTTTTCCTCACCTCCATAACATATGGTGGAGGTGTTCTGTAGTTCTCATGGAAAGATGGACGGGGCCAACAACAACGCCATCGGAGGTTATCAGCTCACTCATTGTACTGTATTTATAGAGGAGCGGCGTTGTCACCCTGACCTGCGCTGCTCTTTGGACTACAAAACATCTCCCCCTTCCTTTCTCACTTGCATAACTTATGGGAGAGGTGTTCCGTAGTTCTCATAGAGAGATGGACGGAACCAACAACAACAACGCAGAGAGCACCGGGGGTTATCGGCCCATTCATTGTACTGTATTTATGGAGGAGCGGCGTTGTTACCGAACAACAGGACTACAGAACACCTCCTCTCCCCCTTCTTCATAACATAGGTGGAGGCATGGCTGGATCTAGGGGGGTACTGGGGTGGGCTATCCCCCCCAGATTTCAGTTGTGCCCCCCCACTCCCAAAATCCAACAGCCCACCTCCACCCGGGAGTCTGTGGCCGGCTCCTGAACTCCTTCTCGTGGGGCGGGGCAGTGGAGGGATGCAGGAGCGCAGTCAGCAGCTTCCTTCTCCTTATCACTTCACTGATATTCGATCTATACTGAGAGTTCACACAGCCAGGCGGGGAGTATATAGGGCTGAGCTGGGAGGAATAGTGCCCCATCATTGGTATCAGTGGGAGGAATAGTGCCCCATCATTGGTGTCAGTGGGAGGAATAGTGCCCCATCATTGGTGTCAGTGGGAGGAATAGTGCCCCATCATTGGTATCAGTGGGAGGAATAGTGCCCCATCATTGGTGTCAGTGGGAGGAATAGTGTCCCATCATTGGTGTCAGTGGGAGGAATAGTGCCCCATCATTGGTGTCAGTGGGGGGAATAGTGCCCCATCATTGGTGTCAGTGGGAGGAATAGTGCCCCATCATTGGTGTCAGTGGGAGGAATAGTGTCCCATCATTGGTGTCAGTGGGGGGAATAGTGCCCCATCATTGGTGTCAGTGGGAGGAATAGTGCCCCATCATTGGTATCAGTGGGAGGAATAGTGCCCCATCATTGGTATCAGTGGGAGGAATAGTGCCCCATCATTGGTGTCAGTGGGAGGAATAGTGCCCCATCATTGGTATCAGTGGGAGGAATAGTGCCCCATCATTGGTGTCAGTGGGAGGAATAGTGCCCCATCATTGATGTCAGTGGGAGGAATAGTGCCCCATCATTGGTGTCAGTGGGAGGAATAGTGCCCCATCATTGATGTCAGTGGGAGGAATAGTGCCCCATCATTGGTGTCAGTGGGAGGAATAGTGCCCCATCATTGGTATCAGTGGGAGGAATAGTGCTCCATCATTGGTATCAGTGGGGGAGGAATAGTGCCCCCATCATTGGTGTCAGTGGGAGGAATAGTGCCCCATCATTGGTGTCAGTGAGAGGAATAGTGTCCCATCATTGGTATCAGTGGGAGGAATAGTGCCCCATCATTGGTGTCAGTGGGAGGAATAGTGCCCCATCATTGGTGTCAGTGAGAGGAATAGTGCCCCATCATTGGTGTCAGTGGAAGGAATAGTGCCCCATCATTGGTGTCAGTGGAAGGAATAGTGCCTCATTATTGGTGTCAGTAGGAGGAATAGTGTCCCATCATTGGTATCAGTGGGAGGAATAGTGCCCCATCATTGGTGTCTGTGGGAGGAATAGTGCCCCATCATTGGTGTCAGTGGGAGGAATAGTGCCCCATCATTGGTGTCAGTGGAAGGAATAGTGCCCCATCATTGTGTCAGTGGAAGGAATAGTGCCTCATTATTGGTGTCAGTAGGAGGAATAGTGTCCCATCATTGGTATCAGTGGGAGGAATAGTGCCCCATCATTGGTGTCTGTGGGAGGAATAGTGCCTCATCATTGGTGTGAGTGGGAGGAATAATGTCCTATTGGTGTCAGTGGGAGGAATAGTTCCCCATCATTGGTGTCAGTGGGTGGAATAGTGCCCCATCATTGGTATCAGTGGGAGGAATAGTGCCCCATCATTGGTGTCAGTGGGAGGAATAGTGCTCCATCATTGGTGGTCAGTGGGGAGGAATAGTGCTCCATCATTGGTGTCAGTGGGAGGAATAGTGCCCCTTCATTGGTATCAGTGGGAGGAATAGTGCCCCATCATTGGTGTCAGTGGGAGGAATAGTGCCCCATCATTGGTATCAGTGGGAGGAATAGTGTCCCATCATTGGTGTCAGTGGGAGGAATAGTGCCCCATCATTGGTATCAGTGGGAGGTATAGTGCCCCATCATTGGTGTGAGTGAAAGGAATAATGCCTCAAGGGCCAGATAAAGGCAAGCAAAGGGCCACATCCGGCCCCATGGCTGCAATTTGGAGACCACTGTTCTGGAGTGATAATGCTGCTCCTCCATAGAGCACACTGAGCGAACCAATAACGTCCTGTGTATTCCACAGTGTTATCAGCCCCCTACATCTCTAAGAACTACAGGGCACACTGGTATATACCCTTTCAAGCAAACTAGTAGGACTGGCCATAGAGGGATTACTTTGACGCAGTTGGCCAGCTTAAACATGTATTGCAATATGTGTGAACCAAATATCCCTATTTGTTGCATAGTTTGCTTGAAAGGGTATATACCAGAGTGCAGAGGGTCCTTCAGAATTTCTAGAGTTAATGTGGTTACACCCCTTTAGCACCTGATGGATAAATGCATGCACTAGCTGTATGGATTTGAGCACAGGGATCTCTTGTTTGTACTATTCCTCCCACTGACACCAATGATGGGGCACTATTCCTTCCACTGACACCAATGATGGGGCACTATTTCTCCCACTGATACCAATGATGGGGCACTATTCCTCCCACTGACACCAATGATGGGGCACTATTCCTCCCACTGACACCAATGATGGGGCACTATTCCTTCCACTGACACCAATGATGGGACACTATTCCTCCCACTGACACCAATGATGGGGCACTATTCCTCCCACTGACACCAATGATGGGGCACTATTCCTCCCACTGACACCAATGATGGGGCACTATTCCTCCCACTGATACCAATGATGGGGCACTATTCCTCCCACTGACACCAATGATGGGGCACTATTCCTCCCACTGATACCAATGATGGGGCACTATTCCTCCCACTGATACCAACAATGGGGCACATTTCCTTTCACTCACACCAATGATGGGGCACTATTCCCCCACTGACAACTAAAATGGGACACTATTCCCACTGACACCAACACTATTCTCCCCCCATTACCAAAGATTGGGCATTGTTTACTCCCACTGGGCACAATCCAGCCCCCCCATAGTCTGAAGGACAGTAAACTGGCCCTTTCTTTAGAAAGTTTGGAGACCCCTGCTCTAAAACATGACTACAGAACACCTCCCCCTTCTCATATCCATAACATAGGGGGTGGTGTTCTGTAGTTCTTAGAGATTGACAGGGCTGATAACACTGAACGGGATGTTATCTGCTCACTCACTGTACTGCATCTATGAAGGAGCATCAGTGTCAACTTAGAAGAGAACTACAGAACACCTCTCCATAACATAGAGGGAGGTGTTCTATAGGCCATAGAGTTAAAAACAAAGGGGGGGGAGCTGATAACACAGCAGAGTGTACAGGAAGTTATCAGCTCACTCGCTATGCGACCTTCCTGTTTGTTAAGATTGGTGAGCACAGTGCCCGCCCCTCCCTGCTCCCACGGGTCACGCCCACACGGATCTCACGTTATTATGGTAGAGCGTAATGGAACACGCTGAAGGTAGAAGCTGATTGGCTCCCATACACAGCGGAACCAGATTCTGAGTGATCCAGATTTAGTAGATCTCCCCCCTTTGTGTTGTTGGACTCCTCTGTCATCGGTCAGTCGGTCCTTCAGAGCTCTTCTTTGTATTTTGTGGTTACGTTGTCCTTGAAGGGCAGCTTCATGTAGTGTAAAACAGATTCCAGGTCTGTGATTGGTTGTCATAAGTCCCAGCGCTTTCAGCGCAGTCATGGCTGCCGGAGGGGGCGGGGTTTGAATACGTCTGTATTGGTGCAGTTTGACCTCCATCTTTGCTCTCCTCCTCAGGCTATGCCCGGATACTGTTTGCCTTCGTGGCGTTTTATTTCATGCCAACCTCGCCCCTGGTGGCCTCCGCCTTCTACCTGCTCAGCGGCCTGCTGGACGCCTTCGACGGACATGCAGCTCGAGCGCTCAACCAAGGTAAGACAGAGGGCACGGTGCGCTCCCAGCACAGAGACCAGGGTGTCAGTGAGAGCCCCGGGTCCCGCTCCCCATTCCAGATCTCATGATCGCTCTGAAAGCCTCTGATTGGATATCACAGTGATCAGTCACTATGAAGCCTGCCCCCCCCTTGGGGTCACTATGAAGCGGCCCCACTGGACTGGGCTTTTTTCCATGGGGCCACTAATTTGCGTACCTGTCTTTGTGCTGGGAGTTCACCGCATGGCGCGCTCCAAGCACAAAGGCCAGGGTGTCAGTGAGAGCCCTGGGTCCCGCTCTAACGAACGGGACCTGAAACTCCCAATTCCAGATCACATGATCACTGTGAAAGCTTTTGATTGGATATACAGCGCTGAGCGAACTATTTGCGCTTTATAAATACTGTATAATAATAATAATATCACAGTGATCAGTCACTATGCAGCCCCCCCCCCCCCAGGTCACTATGAAACGGCCCCACTGGACTGGGCTTTTTTCCATGGGGCCACTAATTTGTATACCTGTCTTTGTGCTGGGAGCTCGTGCCACATGGTGCACTCCCAGCACAAAGACCAGGGTGTCAGTGGGAGCCCCAGATCCCGCTCTAACGATCGGGTCCCGAAACTCCCAATTCCAGATCACATGATCGCTGTGAAAGCCTCTGATTGGATATCACAGTGATCAGTCACTATGAAGCCTGCCCCCCCCTTGGGGTCACTATGAAGCGGCCCCACTGGACTGGGCTTTTTTCCATGGGGCCACTAATTTGCGTACCTGTCTTTGTGCTGGGAGTTTACCGCACGGCGCGCTCCAAGCACAAAGACCAGGGTGTCATTGAGAGCCCCGGATCCCGCTCTAACGAACGGGACCTGAAACTCCCAATTCCAGATCACATGATCACTATGAAAGCTTTTGATTGGATATACAGCGCTGAGCGAACTATTGGTGCTTTATAAATACTGTATAATAATAATAATATCACAGTGATCAGTCACTATGCAGCCCCCCCCCCCCAGGTCACTATGAAACGGCCCCACTGGACTGGGCTTTTTTCCATGGGGCCACTAATTTGCGTACCTGTCTTTGTGCTGGGAGCTCGCTGCACGGTGCGCTCCCAGCACAAAGACCAGGGTGTCAGTGAGAGCCCCGGATCCCGCTCTAACGATCGGGTCCCGAAACTCCCAATTCCAGATCACATGATCGCTGTGAAAGCCTCTGATTGGATATCGCAGTGATCAGTGACCTTGTTTTTTCTCTCTGAATGGAGGAGAGAGATACATTGTATCTCTCTCTGTCCTTTCAGAGAGAAAAAAAAGGTGTTTGTAAAACAATGAATAAAAATAATAATAAAATAAATAAAGTTAATAAAAATACCCAGATCAAGGTTTGATCTAGGTCAGTGCCAGGGTTAGTGTTTGGGTCAAGGGGGTCAGGATTTTTTTTTTTAAATTTTTAAGTTCGTATCAGTGTCAATTAGTGGCAGGATAAAAATAACGCAAACTGCGCACGATTGTTTCCGGGCCGTACTACGGGTACAAACAACAACTAACATACACATATGTGGTATCGCTGCGATCGTCAGGAGCTGGAGAATTTATTTTGGGTTGTTCTTTGGTGATTGGTTATGACAGTAGCAAGAAATATACAACTAAATAAAAAAAAAAAAGTTTGTTTCTTACTATTTGTCACCAGTTTTCCTTTAATAATTAAAAAAAAGATAAAAATCAGGAGATATCCATTACCATTTACCACTAAATAAAAGCCAAATTTGTCCTGAAAACAAATACGGTATATTCCACCTGGATGTACAAAGTAGTTGTGTGATATGGACGGTTTTACTAACACATGTCAACGTTGCAAAATTGTGCTTAGGCATTTAGATTTGTTTTACCCTTAGGCAGGAAGGGGTTAAGATTTAACATCAGCTTTAAGGCTGAGATAGACTGTCCCTTTAAATGACTTGACATATGTTTGACTTCTCAGGAACCAAGTTCGGCGCCATGCTGGACATGCTGACTGACCGTTGTGCCACCATGTGTCTCCTGGTAAACCTGTCCCTCCTCTACCCATCGTACACTCTGCTGTTCCAGCTCAGTATGAGTCTGGACATCGCCAGTCATTGGCTGCACCTACACAGGTATAGTATACCCAGCGTGATTCTGGAGCCATTTCTCTACATCCAGGGAATATATAGGGGGGGAATATACTGGCAGTCCCTGAGTTACAAGCATTCGACTTGCATACAACTCCCACTTAAGAATGAAGGCAGCATGACGTCACGCCGGTCCCTCCGTGTGGCCATCTTGCTGCTCACCGCATGCTGCCACCTGCTGTCCGGCAGACCTATCAGCAGTCCCACATCACTGAATGGCCAGTTAACCCTTCCCTATGCTGTCCAAAACTTAAAAGATAATCTTTTTGGTGGAGTTACACTTAAACAATGTATCTGTTCCAACTGACATGCAATTCAACTTAAAAACAAACCTTCAGACCCTATCTTGTTCATCACCCGGGGACTGCCTGTATTATTACACTGTTTAGATTCAAGATTCAGTGTTCCATTGTATCTGATGTGATCCGAGTGTGTCAGGATCACTCCTAGAATCCTACACAGGTCAGTGTAGACAACAGCTAAGGTTACATCTCCCTGTGTACATAATGTATGGTGATCTTGGGCCCCTTTCACACTGATGGTCCAATCAGGTCCACCTGTCAGTTTTTCAGGCAGACCTGACCGGACCATCCATAGACCTCTATGGACTGGCGGGTGTCAGCGGACAAGTGTCAGATTTTTACCTTTAATAACTGAAATTGTGTCCTCTCTCAGTAGTTTCTTTTAAAAAGGTATTCAACTTCTTTACCACGGCACTATGGCCGAAAAACAGCTACAGTGCGGTGCTCTCGTTCTGCGAGGGCGTCTATAGACATCCTCCTAGAGCGTGCCTTGTGCGCACCCCCTGGGGCGTGCATCGGGTGCTTTCTGTGACTGCTGTGTCCAGTGACTGCTGATCACATGTAAACAGATGTACTAGTTATCGGCTTTTCCTTTCCTCAGCGCTGTCACTGTGTGAGGAAAGGAAAGCCAATGACTGACAATCCTGACAGCACTTTGTTTACACCAATAATCAGTGCCCTGACTATCAGTTCAACCCTCATCAGTAACCATCAATGCCCATCAATGCAGCTCATTAGTGCCCATCAATGCAGCCTCATTAGTGCCCATCAATGCAGCCTCATTAGTGCCCATCAATGCAGCCTCATCTCAGTGCCCATCAATGCAGCCTCATTAGTGCCCATCAATGCAGCCCATTATGTGCCCATCAATGCAGCCTCATTAGTGCCCATCAATGCAGCCTCATCAGTACCCATCAATGCAGCCTCATTAGTGCCCATCAATGCAGCCTCATCAGTGCCCTATCTGGCAGCCTCATTAGTGGCCATCAATGCAGCCTCATCAGTGCCCATCTGGCAGCCTCATTAGTGGCCATCGGTGCAGCTTATTGGTACCCATCAATGCAGCCTCATCAGTGCCATGATTATCAGTTCAGCCCCAGCAGTGCCCATCAGTGCAGCTTATCAGTGCCCATCAATGCAGCCTCATTAGTGCCCATCAGTGCAGCTTATCAGTGCCCATCAATGCAGCCTCATCAGTGCCCTGATTATCAGTTCAGGCCCAGCAGTGCCCATCAATGCAGCCTCATTAGTGCCCATCAGTGCAGCTTATCAGTGCCCATCAATGCAGCTTCATTAGTGCCCATCAGTACAGCTCATCAGTGCCCATCAATGCAGCCTCATCAGTGCCCATCTGGCAGCCCTCATTAGTGCCCATCAATGCAGCTTCATTAGTGCCCATCAGTACAGCTTATCAGTGCCCATCAATGCAGCCTCATTAGTGCCTATCTGGCAGCCTCATTAGTGCCCATCAGTGCAGCTTATCAGTGCCCGTCAATGCAGTCTCATTAGTGCCCATCAGTGCAGCTTATTGGTACCCAACAATGCAGCCTCATCAGTGCCCTGATTATCAGTTCAACCCCAGCAGTGCCCATCAATGCAGCCTCATTAGTGCCCATCAGTGCAGCTTATCAGTGCCCATCAATGTAGCTTCATTAGTGCCCATCAGTACAGCTTATCAGTGCCCATCAATGCAGCCTCATCAGTGCCCATCTGGCAGCCTCATTAGTGCCCATCAATGCAGCCTCATTAGTGCCCATCAGTACAGCTTATCAGTGCCCATCAATGCAGCCTCATTAGTGCCTATCTGGCAGCCTCATTAGTGCCCATCAGTGCAGCTTATCAGTGCCCGTCAATGCAGTCTCATTAGTGCCCATCAGTGCAGCTTATTGGTACCCAACAATGCAGCCTCATCAGTGCCCTGATTATCAGTTCAACCCCAGCAGTGCCCATCAGTGCAGCTTATCAGTGCCCATCAATGCAGCCTCATTAGTGCCCATCAGTGCAGCTTATTGGTACCCATCAGTGCAGCCTCATTAGTGCCCATCAGTGCAGCTTATTGGTACCCATCAGTGCAGCCTCATTAGTGCCCATCAGTGCAGCTTATTGGTACCCATCAGTGCAGCCTCATTAGTGCCCATCAGCTCAGTGAAGAAGAAAAATTACTTCTTTCCAAATTTTTATAACAGAAACAAAGAAAAAGGGTTTTTTTTTTTTTTTTTTTTTTAGCAAAAAAATAAAAAGCCAATGGTGATCAAGTACCGCCAAGTTCAAGCTTTCAAAAAATTTGATAAACATTTTATATGGGTACAGTGTTACATGACTGTGCAATTGTCAAAGTGCAACAGCACTGAAAGCTGAAAATCAGCCTGGGCAGGACCGGGGTGAAAGTGCCCGGTATTGAAGTGGTTAAACCTAAGAACAAACCCTTCATACATTGCAGCATACCAGTCCTTGGATGTGGTGGCTGCATTAGTTTTTTTTTTTTTTTTTTTCAGACTAAGAACATTTTTCAGCAAGTATAGAAAATACCAGTTGATTCTGACAGAAATCGTGTTATTGTAAACTTCCAGCTGGACAGGATGAAAAAAAACTGATCTTTCTGGTATAGACTCCCTTTTGGGAGTTTATTTCCACTTTAATGAACCTCTAGCAACACCTGGAGGAATCCTGATTGAGAACGGCTGGTCTAAGGGCTTGTGTAGGAGAGGGATGCTGTCGAAGGCTGGCCTTTGCATTAGAAGACAGCGCTTCAATCCTTCTAAAACCGAGCTTGTAATATTACCTCCCCCCGATCCCCCACTCATGACTTTACCATCAAGATCAACAGCACAACCATTGGTCCTTCCCCACTCATGCCAGGGTGCTCAGTGTAATCCTAGACTCTGACCTCTTCTTCAGGCCCCTCATCCAATCACTGGCTAAATCCTGCCGCCTCAACCTCCGCAACATTTCCAGAATTCGCCCCTTTCTGACCAATGACACCACAAACCAACTTATCCACGCCTTGGTTATATCCCGCCTTGATTACTGCAACTCCCTCCTCACTGCTCTACCGTTACACAGGCTATCCCCCCTTCAGTCTATTATGAATGAGGCTGCTAGACTCATACACCTTACTATCCAATCTGTGACTGCTGCCCCTCTCTGCCAATCTCTTTGCTGGCTTCCAATACCAATGTATAAAATTCAAAATACTAACCACAATGTACAAATCCATCCACAACACTGCCCCTAGGTATATCACCAACCTTATCCACAGATATCATCAAAATCGTCCGCTCTGCTCCTCCCAAGACATCTTCCTCTCTAGCTCCCTTATCATCTCCTCCCACACTCGCCTCCAGGACTTCTCCAAAGCCTCCCCCATCCTCTCGAACTCCCTACCCCAGTATGTCCAGTCAGCCCCCACCCTGTCCATTTTTAGGCGATCTTTGAAAACACACTATACCTGAGTCACCTCCATTAGATCATCCCCTGCAGCTATCCCCTTTTGTAACACCTCCCCCTTCCTTTAGATCAGTGTTTCCTAACGTTTTTTCAGTCAAGGCATCCTTTAAAATTCTGGACAGTCTTGAGGCACCCTTTAACCTCTTGGCGCCAGCCGAATGCAAATGTGTGGCCTCCCGGCGTCTGGGCCTAGACGCCGAGTGGCCACACATTTGCGTTCTATTAAAAAAAAAAAAACATGTGCTCCCAGCACACAGGTTTGGTACTCACGGAAAGGTCCCAATCTCCTCTTTCGATCGGGACCTGTCCTGATCAAGTTACGGCATGTCACGGCGGTCACATGACCCTATAACCCCACCCCGCCTCCCAGCTTCTGAAACGCTTAAAGGGCTGGCAGGCGCCGGCACCAAGGGGTTAAAATTATGGACAGTTCTGAGGCACGCTTTATAATTATGGACAGTCCCGAGGCACCCTTTAAAATTATGGACAGTCCCGAGGCACCCTTTAAAATTATGGACAGTCCCGAGGAACCCTTTAAAATTATGGACAGTCCCGAGGCACCCTTTAAAATTATGGACAGTTCTGAGGCACCCCATTCTAAAATGTGAAAAACTAATCTATTAGTTTTATATGACGCAGCAACATCCACACATGTAGGACACCCAACATTAGAGGGGATTTATTCTTTCAAAGCAAATATACTTTTGCACCCTGGTACTGACTAGTATTCTGATGTTTCTCTTTCCTCCTCAGTTTTTCTCCATCACTGAGCTAATGTGACCCCAGCACTGATGGAGAGCGGCGGGGGTCAAACAATGATGCTGTGCAGGCAGCTGCCATCCTCCTTATCAACTGATGATGTCATTGGTTGTCAGGATGCCGGCAGCTAGAAAGTTTCAATGGCGCACAATGAAAACCTGTGACTTTGTTTAACTAAAAGGCCGACTTGTTCCACCCGCTGGCTTGTATACAGTTTTGGCCAATTTTTAGACATTTTGCCAAGGCACCCCTGAAGAAACCTCAAGGCACCCCAGGGTGCCTGGGCACCCTGGTTGAGAAAGACTGCTTTAGATTGTAATCTCCATGAGCCGGGCCCTCCTCTTCCTTCTGTATTGTAATTGTACTGTCCCCCTTTATATGGTAAAGTGCTGTGCAAACTGTTGGCGCCATATAAATCCTGTATAATATAATGTATTCCAGTACAGAATAATGTATTTGACCTGCTTTGCCTACAGTGCAGACACCTCAGACAGAACCTGCTGGATGCAGAGGAATGCAAAACAGGTCAAATGCAACTTCATAGCTGTCATCCGCACCCGACCGTTGGGGTAACTGGGAAGCAGGGGTCCATACATCTGTCTAACATCAGCTGTGCTTTTGTCTCCCGCCAGTTCCACCCTGAAAGGAAGTGACAGTCACAAGACAATCGACCTGAGCGGTAACCCTGTGCTGCGCTTGTATTACACCTCCCGGGTACGTCCACAAAGTGACCCCTGACTGTCTTGCCTTTAAGTGGGTTCTGGGAATTTCTAATGGATTTCTTTTTGTTTTTTTTTTTTTTTTTTCTCCTTATAGCCTGTGCTGTTCCTGATGTGTGCTGGCAACGAGCTCTTCTACTGCATGCTGTATCTGCTGTACTTCTCCGAGGGACCAGAAGGTGGGGCTGTGTGCTGCGGCTGGGTCGCACAGGAGGAGGAACGGGCCCTGCGGCCTGATTTGTTGTACTGATCCTCTCCCTCTATTTCCACAGTGGCGTTGGGTCCGCTGGGAGCAATCGGTATTTTCCGCCTCATCTTCTGGGTCAGCTGTCCGATCTCTCTGCTGAAATCCGCCATCAGTCTTCTGCACTTGGGCACCGCCTCCTGCAACATGGCCGCCCTGGACCGCGCCGAGCGTGCTAAAAAGAAATAA